TTTCTCACTTGAACAAGGTCTAGGTTCAAATTCTTGTTCCACTACAGCACTTACTTGATTTATGATGGGATTGCATCCCAATAAACTAAAATACTGTAAAAAAAATGCAATTAGTACCCCTAACCTTCAGAACATCACCATTTAGCCTTACCTTACTCAGAGCATTTACATTAGTCTACAGTTTGGCAAAATTATCTCATTTATTATACAAAGCTTATTTTAGAATGAAGTGCTGAATAGCTCAGGCACAGATGGAAATTTGATATACATGACAGGATATACATGATATGTATATACATATACATATACATACAGGATATACATGTATATGTATATACATATACATGACACAATATACATAGTACATTATAGTGTATCAGTCCTTTATCCTTTGAGAGACTGGCTGATGGGGAGCTGTCCAACATCATAAGAGCATTTATACTGGGTATCACTAGCACAGGAAAAAATCAGAGTTCAATTTTGGGAAGAAGGTTTCTACTGAACATGTTATCTCCTAAGTTGGGGATCATATGTTATTTGTGAGCTGTGTGACCTAAAGTTAAGTCACTTAGTTGTCTAAGCCACAGGTTCTTGATCTGTGGTGTGTGGATAATACAGATTCACAATTTACAACTCACAATTCTGCCATCAAAAGCTCTGAAAAGTAAAAGGTTTTTAAAAGCTACTTGGCAGCAAACCTGAGCTGACATGCAGGCACCTGGTGGTAAAATAACCTGCATTAGCCTGAGAAGATAGGAAGTCTTTGTCCCATCTGAGATGGTGATGTGTACATTTCACCTGTTTTGTTAGCATTAAAAAAATACATCTTCTGATGACAGTGTTACCCAAGACCTCCTGGGAATTGTACACTGTAATAAACTTTTGAAAATTAAAAAACAAATCTAAAATTTTTAACTAAATTAAAAATGTTCAAACCCTAAAACACATCTGGCATAAGGGATTTCAGTAAAATCTTACTTCCAAACTTGATAAGGGATCAAAGACTACAAAGCATTATATGAATTTCATATGTGAGATGCCTAGCCAATGTCTACAATAAAGTAGATGCCCAAATATATTAATTTCCCAAATCTCTTAATTTAAAAAAAACATCATGGTAAAATGCATAAAGTACATATTTTCTTATCAACAGTCTTTTAATGCCTCTCTCTCAGTTACACAGAGTAATCATGATTCTGTTTGGTAAAGAAATGAAACTGAGAATAAGGAAACTGTGTGAATGAGCTATAAACATAAAACAAACCATCACAATACATATCACTAACAGAGTTTTCTGGAAATAACAGTAATGAGCAGAACTTAAGAACATGAGCTTTGGCATCAGATTCTGATTCAATCCCTGGTTCTGCTTCTGAACAGCTGCATAGCAGTAAGATACTTAGATTAGTAAGTAAACTTCACTAGATCTGTTTTCTAAGCTATAAAATAGGTATTAAACATATACCTCCACCCCATAGCCATGCCAAATATTAAATGGAATGAAAGAAAGCATTTAGTGCAATGTTTGTCAAGTGACTGTGTGGTAATAGTAGTAACAGGTTAAAACCGAAGCTGTTTGTTACTACAGATTAAATTTAAAATCAGGGCCTACCCTGTGGCGCAGCGGTTGAGCGCTGGGTTGCGAAGCTGCGCGCAGCCTCTGCAGCACCGGTTCGATCCCCGGCTGCTCCCCGGCCACCGGAGGAGGGTCCCACATGGCGCGCAGACCTCTCCTGCCGCCCGCTGCTCCCCTCAGCAGTGTACTTTGGTCCTTCTGCCTGCTCTGCTCCCCGCTCTGGCTCTGGTGAATTCTCTCACCCTCCCGTGCTTCTGACTGTACCCAGTGCGTGTATAAACAAAACAAACAAACGAATAAATAAATAAATAAAAACATGCCTCTATTAAAAAAAAAAATTAAAAATAAATAAATAAATAAATTTAAAATCAATTATATACTGTAATCATTTAGATTCATTAGTCATTAACTGTCTGAAAAGCTACTTCAGTTTCACATTTGACTTTACATTGAGAAATATTTTATAAAATTAAATTTATACATTAATTGGGTTTTAACACTACCAACAGGTTGTAAGATCTGTTGAACATGTTTTGACATGCTAACAGCTATCAGGCATATTCTCACACTAAATTATCATTTTGTAAATATTTATCCTGTCAAAACCACAATATAATTACTGTATCAGACTTCCAGCTATAAAATCTTAACCTGAAGATTAAGATCCTAGGCAGTAAGTAAAGCATCTAATTGCTACTTTGTGTAAGTTCTCTACAACACCCCCAAAATTATGGTAAGTACCTTTATTCACTGCATCAAACTTGGGAAAAATTAAGAAGCCAATGATACACATTCGATTTTACACATTAGCACATTTTAATTAAATCTCTGAGCCTATAATAATGTGTGTGGGTCTAATTAACTAACTCATCAAGCTTCTAAGTGGACCAAAGAGTAAAATATTTGAACTTATGCAAAGCAAGATCATTAAAGAGGAAAATAGGCAAAAACTTGTTCAAGATAACATGGAAAGCTGGCCTTTTCATTCATACTGATTCCTGGCTTTCTGCAAATGCACATTCTTATTTATTAGAGAGCCTGAAGATGTTCATTTCAAAGGCAGTAGATTAACATGCCAGGCAGTTGTTAGCCTATGAAGAGACTGCAGGTGCAAAGTTCAAAAGATGTCAGAGCCACAGAGTGAACTGGGGGAATTCAAGAGAGCAATGACAGCCTAGTCCCAAGAAGCTGCTGTTTTTAAAGATCAGCAACCAAGAGCGGAGTCCAAAGACGCAAGTGGATGGTTGGAGGCAGCTATGTCAGTCATAACCTTCCTGTTCCTATATTTTAGTAGTCATTGTGCACCTATGGGTGCTGCGGACTGTGCTAGCAATTAATGTCCCTCCAGCCCAGGAGCAGGGAGAATGGGTACCATGCTGCAGAAGCCCAAGAACCCAAGAACTGTCATCCTCACAGACCTGAGGTCCCAAGACAACCACTGAACTCACTGACATGAGGAGTGCAGTTGAGTGGCAAGGAAATGAATGGAGCCAAGGGCCCAGGACCCCCAGTATAAAGGCATGTCTAAAGGCAGAGGTCAAGCCAGACAAGCACATCCAGCTGTGAGGATTGGAGGGGTGAGCAGCAGGGCAATTGATCAAGGCCTAACAACTTCTGAACTTTGTTGTCCAGAAGGAACAGGGTCATTTTTCCTGAGGAAAAAAAAAGCCTATAAATGTTTTATAGAGGGAGATGTATATGTTACCAGGGACACATCTTCCACTGTCTGCTGAACTGTCATGATCGGAAATGCTTCTTCCTTCTCTCCCATCATTGGTCAAATATCCAGTTCATAGACGAGTTTCAGACTGACTTCCTACTTACCTCCATTCCAATTTTCTTTTAAGCTCAGATAATTCTAAAGACAGATGAGGTATAATTTCCAAATTGTTAAAATAAACACGACTATCATCTAAATTTAGGGAGAAATATAATGAAGATTTTATCTAATTCATTAATGAGAGAAGTAGTAAGATAGTTGTGAAGGATCTGGGTATGTTCCCCGTAATGTTATGTTGAAATCCGAACCCCAAAAGTTCAGAATGGGACCTCACTTGGAAATAAGGTCTTTTAGGGGTATTCAGTTAAAGTGAAGTCTCCCTGGAGGAGGGCTGGTCTTAGTCCACTATGACTGCTGCCCTGGTAAAAGAATCAGACAGCACAGGGAAAGTGTCACATGACAGCAGAGGTTACAGGATGCAGCCACAAGTGAGACACACCAAAGACTAACAGTAACCTCAAAACCTGGGAAAAGTAATGAAAGCCCTCTTACAGCTTCCAAGGGAGCATGGCTCTGCCCACGCATTGATACTGGATTATAAGGGCATTATTTTGGACTCCAGAACTGAGACAACAAATTTGCGTTGTGCAAAGCCACTCAAGTTGTGATCATTTGCTATGGCAGCAGTAGATACCAACACACTGGGTACTGCTTGGTCAAAAAGCATTTGAGAAACTGAGAACTGATCAACAATTAGGAGAAAAGAATCTCAGAATAACACTGTTAAAGAGATGAAACCCATTTGTGTCCTAGAAAACAGTAGATTCATCAGCATGGGGGACAGGAACTAGCTCTCCTGGACAAATGTTACAAAGCAACATGCACTAAGCATGAGCCTTTGACAAGTCAAAAAAAAAAGTGCATTTCCTTACATAAGGAAAAAATAAAACCATGGGTGGGTATCCATGAATAAACCTTACAACAATCCCTACTGAATGAGAGACTATATGTACTGACATTGTAATGACCCTGAGTGATGGAGAGGTGGGCGTAAATGCAATAGAGCAAATTAAGGCATCAATTAAGAAGCAACAACTTGTTTAGGAAGACACTGATAAACAGCTGTGCAGAAATCCAAGGACCGATAAAAACCTGCCCGGATAGAGAGATCCCACCTAAATCAGAATTAACAGATAGCCCTGATCATAAGCCTCTGAAAAGTGGTATAAATATAGGCACTGAATATAAGTCAATTTCAGACACTATTCACTCCAAAACTGTGATGCTGAAACCTTCTCTAAGTTTGGGTGAGAGTCCTGCTGTGGGATTTTCACTCTAAGAAGGGGCTCTCCCCTCTCTGCTGATGGAGACTTGTCAAGAACTCTTCTGGCTGGGTGGAGCCCACTCTTCATTGTCAACCCCCCCAAACCCTGCAAAGAGCTTGGTATCTCTCCCCTTTTGTTGCCAATTTGATTATATGCTTAAATTGTTGTAATATGGCTCTCCCCAATGAATTTTGATTGTAGTTATATGCATCTGACTTGAGTCTTTTTTGTTTTGTTTTGTTGTGCTTTCTGCTCTTTTATTGTTGTGGATCTTACATCTAAGTTTTTAATCAATTTTGAATTAATTTTATATGTGGAGTTAGAGAGTGTTCCATCTTTGTTCTCTCAAAGTGAGTTAAATCCATGGGTAGATTTACATAAAAATATGGAACACTTCACGAATTTGTGTGTCATCCTTGCGCAGGGGCCAGGCTAATAAACTTCTTTGTATTGTTCCAATTTTAGTATAAGTGCTGCCAAAGAGAGCACTGACTTGAGTCACTGACATGAGTAAAACTTTTCTTGGTGGAACTTTTGAGATCCTGACCTGATATAACACTGGGCCCATTCAAAACAGCTACAAAGTTGGACCTCCCTGGTGGCATAAGGGGTCAAACACAGCACTGTCAAGCTGTCAGCAGCCTCTGCAGCATGAGTTCCATCCTCTGCCAGCCAAGGAACTAGCCACATGGTGCAGCAGACCTCTCCTGTCACACCTGTTGCTCCCCTCAGCAGTGTATTTCAGTAGATCTGCCTGTTCTGCTCCCCACTCTCTCTGGTGAATTCTCTCACCCCCAAACCTCTGGTCTGTACCCCAGTTCTTGTATGCATTGTATAAAAATAAATGAATCTTTAAAAAATAAAATAAACCTTTAAAAAAAAAACTGCTACAAAGTGACAATCACAGGAACATACCCATACATTGCCTCCTACTTGCTTCATTTCCAAGGTTTGTACACATTTTTCTTGACAAATCTATTACTCCATTTGACTAGCAAGCTATCCTGGCCACCCTACCTCCTCAATGACTATTTGCAAATTAGTGTGTCTCCTGACCACCACCCCAGAAGTCTTTTCTTGTCCAGATCCTGATAATGATCAAGCCCCTCCCATTTTAAGATAGCAGCTATTTAACAATTCTGTCCCACTATTCAGCCAGGCAGAAGGCTTAGTGAGATGCAGCTCATTTCAGAGGAAAACAAACAACAGAGCCCTGTGATGGAACCTGGAAAGAAGTTCATGCCTTCATTTTTCTTTGATGCACTAGAAAGTTGAAATGAAAACTTTCCCCCTCACCTCCCGGAAGGGCATGTTGATTGAGCCCACCATGCCTTCCAAGAAAGGAAACAGGTCCTACCTTGCCCTGGATTTATATTCAGGATTAAAAAGCCCATTTACAGCTGTTGTGAAGGAGGTAAATAGGCACATTCAACACGTTTACCACCCAGTGTGAGAAGGGAACTGACCACTGACCCAGCAGGATTGGAAGTAGGTGCTGGAGGACAGATGCAGGAGTCTGGAGGTCTCCTGCCCTGCAAGGGGTCAGCACTTGAGCTGAAGAATCTGCCACCCCCTCACCCCCAGTGACCTGTCCTCCACCTTGGGCACTGTCCCTTGGCATTGTTTTGAGTTTTAGCAATGTTTTAAATACCCTCTCAGTACTTTTTTTAAGGGCAGGCAGCAAAATGGGTACTTGGCTAGGGAAGTCTTAGAATAAGACTTTATTTTATTTTTTAAAGATTCATTTATTTTTATACAATGCATACAAGAATAAAGGCTACTGATCAACCACCATTAAACTATTTGAGTAGGCTCAAAAAATGGATTGTCACACCCCCACTGAATATCAGTCCTGAGAAACAAAGGCTGAGCACAAACCAAAGAGGAAATGACTTGATGAAAAAAACAAGGGAAAAGACAACTTGAGATTCCTCCAGGAGAAAGACCAAAAGGTCAAAAGATGAGAATTAGGACCCTAGACTCTTAGGGAAGGTGTTAGGGGTCCCCAAAACACACACATTTCTGGTGGTTGGACAGTGCAGTTGGACAGTGCAAGTGTGAAAACCCTTCAGCTGGAAGAATGCTCAATGACACCCTTGTACAATACATGTCTATTTTAAAGTTTAAAATAAAACAGCATCCATTTACATATCTTTTGCTTATCTTCCACCAATGCAGCCCAAATTGAAGGATGAAAATTTCACAATATATATTTATATTTCATCTCAGGGTGGTGAAAGTTAGGGTGAATGATTTCTCCCAACAGAACCAAATTTTTCTGGCACTCAGCTTTGGTACATGATTATATACAAGGTGTGGCTTGGCAAAGTGGTGCAGTTTCATTTCCTGGGAGGATGAGAAGTTTAAATCCACCAGACAACTCATTTGGAACAAGCTTACAAGTGCTGGGGAGAATGCAGTAACTGCCTGGCTTGAACAAGCCAGTGAATGAAAGAAAGTCTTTGACCTCAAATGAAAAAAAAAAAAAAAAAAAATCCAAAGGGATTTGTCATTTTGACTTTGGTTCTGAATTCAAAATCAATGCCAGATAGAAAATGCCATAATGCATATAAATGTTTTTCTGTGACCTTCTTTAGAAAATGGGGTGAAATATTAGCAGTCATTGAACAAACTTGAGTCCTACACACGATCAATAGGGGTCTTTCATTCCAACGAAAACAACAATAACAATAGTCTCAGCTCACACCAATTGAATGTTTAGTTTGTGCTAGCAAATGTGCTATGAACCAAATATGCATTTTCTCATCCAATTGTCAGATGAGTCACCTAAGTACTTACCATTCATTCCCTGGCTTTACAAACAGAGAAAGCACTGAAACAAGAGGTTGCTAAAGCTGTCATTGAGGTGGAGAAGTTGGTATTCAAACCCAGGATCTTGAAGACAGATACTGCCTTCCTATCAGCTAACAGTCCAGAAAATGCCGGGGGGAGCCCTACTGGTGACCCTGACCTGTGAGTGCAGGGACTCAGTGAGCTGGAGAAGCCACCCTCAGCACTGAAAAACAAAACCCCCCAAATGAAGACTACTCCTGAAAGCTACCTAATTTTCATTTTAGTGTGATTTGATTTCCTTCCTTGAAATCTTTCTTAATTCCGTTACAATAGCCTCTGTGAAAGACAGACTGGGCCAAAACGGCACTAATGCAAGCTGGAAAGCAAGATCAATGAGAAGCCCATTAGAAGGATGGAAGGGAAGTGGCTGAATGCAGCAGATGCCAAGAGAGTACCAGGCGGGATCCTTCTCAAGCGTCTCAGATGTCTTCAGTGTCAGGGGCTTCCTGAAATGCTGTAACTCCAGTCAATTTCCCATTATCCACCTGTGAATTCCCCACTCTGCAGATTTATCTTTTTCCTCAAGCATTTGGAGCTTTTGATACACAAAGTGACTGCACTGGCCTTCTCCCCAACCTGGGCTCTGGTCTCTTCTGCCTGGTAGTGCTCATGATGGGGAGGTATGCTGGCAGTTAGGCTGAGTCTCCCAATTCCCCAGTCCCCCACTGGGAAGCAGTGGTTTTCCTTTCATCTATATTTAGGTCTGTGCCCCTCCCAGCCTCCTGTGCCCACAGAACCAGAGATAGGAATGGGCACATTCCTGTTTCTCCCAACAGAGATTTGGGGAAACTGGGATTAACTCAATTTGGCTGGAACCAAGAACATATATATTCATCTATTGTAAGGGCTGGGCTCACTCCCCAGCCTATGCAGCATCTGTACTACATAAAATGGTTGACACCCTTGGAAAAGGTCCCTGTAACAATATGACAGAGAAGGGCCTCCCTGGTGGTGCAAGGGGTTAAGACGCAACCTATGAAGTTTCAGCAACCTCTGCAGCATGAGTTGGATCCCTGGCCAGGGAGCTAAACCACATGGTGCAGCAGACCTCTCCTGCCTCACCTGCTGCTCCCCTCAGCAGTGTATTTCAGTCGGTCTACCTGTTCTGTTTCCCACTCTGTCTCTGGTGAATCCTTTTCCCCACACACATACCTCTGGCCTGTACCCCAGTTCTTGTATGCATAAATAAATACATCTCAAAAAAATATGACAGAGAAGTATGAAAGAGATCCTGCCTCAAACTTTGTGCATCTACCTAAGTCTTGTTACTGTTCATTACTATTCAAGACACAGCAAGGTAGGCTCAAGGGACCTTGGGCTTTCTGGTGAAGTTGATGGGGCTTGAGGCACGCTCCAGAATCAACTCCTGGGAGACTGTGTGAAGATTAGAGCTTCTTCTATCATTCTCCTGTCTGCACTTTTCTAGGGAAAATACCAGTAACTCTATCTGATAGGAAGTAGTGATTATACAATGCAAGAATAAAGGAAAAGCACAACATAGGACACTAGGAACATGGCAGTTGTTCAGGGAATTGGAAATTGTCAGTAACAGCAGTAGGTACAGCTCTGTTACTGAAAGTGCTAATAGTGATAGCAACATTAGCAGTACTAACACAGCTACTGCATTAGACACAGTATTCCTAGTAGTGCCAGTAGCAACAGCAGCAACAACATTACTAGTCACAAAGTAGTAATAGCAACATTGTTACTAGTAGCACTAGGAATAATTGCAGGAACATTGCTATTACTATTAGCACTAGCATTAATAGTGGTAATAATATTACTAGCAGCACTAGTAGTAATAGTGGCTATCTGTTACTTGTGTAACACTAGTAGTAATGGCAGTGATAATTTTACCAGTAGCATGAGGAGTAACAGCAGCAACAGCATTACTAGTAGTGCCAGCATTAACTGCAATTGCTAGTAGCACTACAAGTTACTGCAGCAATATTACTAGCAGCACTAGTAATAATAGTGGCAACAGTGTACTAGTAACACTGGTAGAAATACCAGTGATAATATCACTAGTTGCACTAGTAGTCACAGCAGCAGCATTACTAGGAACACAAGTAGTAATTGTGGTAATATTATTAGGGATACTAGTAGTCACAACAGCAATAGCAGAGCAGAAATAGTACTGCTATAGAAAGGAACAGGCTCAAAGTGTTGGCTGCATTTTGAATAACAGTTATTCTAAAACACAAATATTATATTTAAGAACTACACATATTTGTATATTTTAAAATATGCTTTGCCTCTAGCTATGAATATCAAGTAGCATCTTACCCTGAAATAAGGACTGGCATAACTAATTGAGATGCTTTCTTTTTATATATTCTTTGAAGATATTAATGCTAGAGAATTGCTTCACCTTCTTCTTTCTTAATCTATTTAAGCATGCAACACACAAATGGACTTCCCTGAGACCTTAGTAACATGAAATATAAGATAAGGCCAGTTCTCACAAGTTAAAAGAAAATCTATGTTTCTATCTTTTGTTCCTAATATAGTGAGGAATGTAGCCCTACCACTTTGATCTTCCACTTGAAAAACATCAAAACATCTTTAATATGCAAACTAAGACAATAGCTTGTGGGGTCAGTTTGAACAGGTTGTTCCCCTTTATAACAGTAACT